TTGACGTAAGCATGTGGGAGGTAGTGGCCAGATACTGCACCAGGGTGGCCAATCCTTCTCTGGTGAGGGAGTGCGTTCTCGGCGGTGTTTGCCAGTGAGGCCGCACCCCAGGCCTCTTAATGCAGTTCCATCAACACGCGGATTTTTTTTTTTTTTAATCCGGTTGGAAACTGCGCGGTACCGGGATTTGAACCACGGACCTCTTGCATGCGAGGCGGATGCTCTAACCACTACGCCATCGCCAGTCATCTAGTGGTCGTCTTTTTTACCGTGCTTGCAACATGTCCCCACAACCTCATACTAGGCCTTGATTTTCTTGCCGCCAATTCTGCTCTGATTGATTGCTCCACTGGTGTGCTCCGCCTAGAGCTGCCACAAATCAGTGACGCCCCGTACCAACCTACATGCCGATTACAATGCAGCGACTTTGTTCACCTGCCCTCCAAAATTGTGACGTATGTCGATTTTCTGTGCTCACCAGCTGTGCCCGACGGTGACTATTATGCTATGCCTCTCACCGACGTACTCCTTGCGCACAATGTTGCAGTGCCCCATACGGTGGTCAGCATCACAGATAACAAAACTTGTCTACCATTTGTAAATTTCCGCTACATGAATTATGTGCTTCCACAAGGCATTTCCGTGGCCCACCTGTGTCCGTTGCTCGATTCACAAATTGAAGTGCCTGCCTTAGACACCCTTGTTTCACCGCAGCGCACATCACTCGCAACACATTTGGGCAGCCCTCAAATCGTAGACATGATCGCCGCTGATCTTCCGCCTCCACAAGTTGAAGCCCTACAACATCTTTTCGAGGCCTACCAGGATATTTTCGATTTTGGCGACCGACCTCTAGGACAGACGTCCTTTGTCCAGCATCGCATACACACAGGTGAAGCCAACCCTGTTCACCGCCGTCCCTACAGAGTGTCTGCTTTTGAGCGGAGCATAATTCAGAAGGAGGTGAACGAGATGCTAGCGAAGGACATTATTGAACCATCCTCTAGTCCCTGGGCATCCCCGGTGGTATTAGTTAAAAAAGAAGGACGGATCGTGGCGATTTTGTGTGGACTATCACCATCTTAACAACATCACCAAGAAAGACGCATACCCTCTGCCCCGCATTGACGACGCCCTTGATTGCCTCCATGGTGCCGCCTACTTTTCTTCCATCGATCTTCGTTCTGGTTATTGACAGATTGCTGTGGACCCCATGGACTGAGAGAAGACGGCTTTTGTAACACCCGATGGCCTCTACCAATTCAAAGTCATGCCTTTCGGCCTATGTAATGCCCCCGCCACCTTTGAACGAATGATGGACTCCCTGCTCCATGGATTCAAGTGGTCTACGTGTCTTTGTTATCTGGATGACGTGATCGTGTTTGCTCCCACTTTTGAAGCGCACCTTGAGAGACTGTCGAAAATTCTTGACGTCTTCCGTCTCGCCGGCCTTCAGCTGAATTCATCCAAGTGCCGGTTTGGTCGCCGTCGCATTACAATACTTAGACATATTGTTGACGCTTACGGCATACAGCCTGACCTAGAAAAAGTTCGAGCTGTGAAGGACTTTCCTGTGCCAAAACTGCCAAAGATGTCTGCAGCTTTGTGGGGCTCTGCTCCTATTTTCGGCGGTTCATCAAAAACTTTGCGGAAATCGCTCGGCCCCTAACAGATTTACTCAAACCAGATGAGACGTTTACCTGGGGTCCCTCGCAAGCAGCAGCATTCTCCGACCTGACCATTTTGCTCACTTCTTCTCCTGTGCTGGCTCACTTCGACCCTACGGCACCGACCGAAGTCCGCACCGATGCCAGCGGTTACAGAGTAGGGGCTGTGTTGGCTCAGCGACAACGTGGGCAGCATCGCGTGATAGCTTATGCCAGCAGGCTGCTGTCCCCCTCGGAGCGTAATTATTCCATCACAGAGCGCGAATGCCTAGCGCTGGTGTGGGCAGTCGCGAAATTTCGCCCTTACTTATACGGCCGACCATTTATAGTTCTCACCGACCACCACGCTCTTTGCTGGCTCGCCTCCCTCAAAGATCCCACAGGTCGTCTCACCCGCTGGGCACTCAGCCTCCAGGAGTATTCTTACACCGTAGTGTATAAATCAGGAAAATTGCACAAAGATGTGGATTGTCTGTCACGCTACCCTGTGGCCGACTGCGATCCTACGAGCACTTATTATGTGGGTTGCGTCCTTTCCATCTCCCAACTGCTTCATCTCGGGGACGAGCAACGTCGCGATCCGGATATCAGCCGCCTAATACAACAGCTCGAATCTTCACCGCAAGATGCTTCTGTTCGCATGTTTACCTTAAAGGATCACACCTTATATTGGCGTAATTTATCGCCCAATGATCACGACCTACTTCTGGTAATACCAAAGCACCTGCGCTCCACGGTCCTATGCGAGCTCCATGACGCGCCAACCGCCGGTCACCTTGGTGTCTCTCGCACATATGACCGTGTGCGCCGCCGCTTCTATTGGCCTGGCCTTTCACGCTCTGTACGTCGTTATGTCAACGCTTGTGAAATTTGCCAGCGTCGCAAAAAGCCGTTGGGACTCCCTTCCGGATATCTTCAGCCCATCGACATCCCATCGGAGCCATTCTTCCGTGTTGGTTTGGACCATCTCGGTCCCTTCCCAACACCCGCCTCCGGAAACAAGTGGGTCGCGGTAGCTACGGATTACGCGACCCGTTACGCAGTTATGCGAGCCATGCCAACAAGCTGTGCTACAGACGTCGCTGATTTTCTACTACGCGATCTCATTTTAGTGCATGGAGCCCCTCGTCAACTGCTGACAGACCGAGGCTGTACGTTCCTTTCGAAAGTGGTTGACGATATCCTGCGTTCCTGCTCCACCCAACATAAGCTCACGACATCGCACCATCCCCCAGACAAACGGGCTTACAGAACGTTTAAACCGCACCCTGACAGACATGCTATTGAAATACGTCTCGGCCGACCATCGTGATTGGGACCTTGCACTACCCTACGTGACGTTCGCATACAATTCCTCCCAGCATGACACTGCTGGGTACTCGCCATTTTACCTTCTGTTTGGACGCGAATCAACATTGCCGTTGGATACCTTTCTGCCAGCCGCTGCGCAGTGTACTTCTGAATATGCACGCGACGCTATTACCCGAGCTGACTAAGCTCATCAGCTTGCCCGCAGCAGATTAATGGCGTCCTAAGACTCGCAGAAGCATCGTTACGACGAGCGGCATCGCGACGAACACTTTCCAACAGGTTCTCTCGTTCTTCCTTGGTCCCCTACGCGACATGCAGGCCTTTCAGAAAAACTTCTCTCTCGTTTCACGGGCCCATACCGCGTGCTTAGACGAGTGACCAACACTACATATGAAATTGTCCCTGATAATCCATCAACCTCTTCTGCTCTGCTGTCAAGGGACATTGTCCACGTATCAAGGCCCAAGCGTTACCACACTGCTCCTGCTGTGGCCCCGTAAACTCGCCGGGTCGGCCCTTTTGCCGCCGGGGGTCGTGTTACGTGATTTAAGCTGACTGAAACAGGGCATAGTGGGACATATTAAGAAAGGTGCCTCAGACTGAGAGTGAAGAAGTGGACGTTGTCGGTCAGCTGCGCTGAGGCTGTAGACTGACTATTGTTATTTTCCGCGTAACAATATCAGCCTTTCTACAAGCAGTTGCCAATAAGTTTTTTGGGTTTACACAGTAGTATATCTTGGGTATGGTGATCATCCGTCCTGGAACTCATTTAATCATAAGGTAGTTTAGGAGAAGTGCATTGAGGGCTTTTGTGCCACATCTCGTCAGAGATAGAAAATCTTCAAAGATGTTCATCATATCACCCTGAATATAATTGTTTGGCAGCATCTCGAATCTAGCTGCATCGGGCCACCCTGTTTGACAACGTGTTAGCTGCAAGCACTCCAAGCTTCCATAAAAAGTCGGCTAACCACTCAGCTCATGGTGGCTTTTAGTGCCAGCTATAGAAATATAACTTCAAGAAAGTAAAAAATGCAGCATCAAGTACTCTGCAGGCTCTTAATCAGTAATGTGTAGAGACTAAGGCACAGCTGTTTTGCGATAATTTTTTGAGTTGCTGATATTTTTGTTCCTATTAATCACTTTGTTCTGTGTCAAAGAATAATACAGTGATGTATAAAATAGTTTTGCTTGCACAGATGTGTGCTTGAACTTCAACTTTTTATCAGTTACTGCACTTCCATTTCAGAGATGGCAAAATATTGCAAGAGAAAACTTCTCACCAACAGCTAAAAAAACAAGCTGTAGCTAATTTTGCATCATGGCGTGTCTCGCCATTCACTAGTAGGAAGGTGGTCACCCTAATCTTAGTGTTGTGACTCAGTTAGGGGGACATTGCAGCATTTTAATGTTCACTGTGGCCTTTTCAGTCATCTTCTATGCTGCAGCATTGGTTTTCTCAATGAGTACAAGTATAAGAGAGGGTTGAACAAGCACGAGGGAGCATCAAAACGTCACAGTGTGCTACTGCAACATCAAAATAGAGTAAAGAAAACTGACACTGCATGTTTAAAAAAGCTTTTTGCATTAAATTATTCATGGTGCTCTGGAATTTTACAGTATTTTATTCTATGGCGCTGTGCTTTTAAACTGAATGCTGAATTTAATGCTGAATATGCAGTTGAAGAAACATGCCACTCTCTCTTTGTACTTTCTTGGACCTTAGCTCAATAACTCAGCTGTACTGTCATTTTCCCACTGATCTACACCTTTTTTGAGGTTAGGGCTGCATTTCATCTCAAACATACGTTGCGTTTTGTTATAGCTAATTTACTTTTAAAAAGGCGGACCTAGCTCCCAAGCATATTTGTTCAGGAGGTTGTTGTAAAAAAAAATTTACATTGCATTTTTAATATGATGTTTTCATATACGGTTAATATAGTGAACAAAAATAAAAGTTGCATTATGCTCATTTGATTCACTACTTACGCATTGAACTTGACATTACATGGTATGTCACAGGTGGTAACTCGACTCATTCATTTTCTTGGCCACCGGCTTCTGGGTAGCTTGCAAAAAGGTGACACTGTGAAAGGTGAGTTTTCATTGGCAGCAAGCTAGAGAACCATTTTTATGAACTTGGAAATGTCATTTTTTTTTAATTAGCAGGACTGAGCATCTAGAAAAAATCTGAATGTACCAAGGAGTATTGCCATGGCACTATCAGAGTCTTGCCTTTGTGAGTGAGTGTGCAGCAATTGGCTGTTTATACCATGTGCTGCCATGAGATATTTTAAAAGCGTTCCGGTATGCATAAAGAGAGTGGTGTTTTACTTTTCCTGTGATGTGCAATTGGGAAAGCAAAATCATTTAAGCGAGGGTGTTCATAATGATAACCACCCTGAGGCTAGGATCAGTTTTGAGATAGTATCCGTCCCCAAGCACAAAAAGTAAAACACATGTTTTTATACTAGTTATTCCATGAAGTTTAGGAGAACAGAGATTTTGGGCTTGTTGGTTGGTATTCATCTTTTGATGACTGTACTGTATGTAGGGTTTTTAAATACAAGTATCTTGCTGTTATTTTTACACACAATATGCCATGGTTCAAGCACATCGACATTATAATTATATATTACAAAGCATTGAAAAAACTAGGCTATCTATGTCGCACTATGTCTAAATGCCCACACAAAGGTTCTCTTATATAAATTGCTAATTCGTCTTATACTTGATTAAGCATCCATTGTCTAGAATACTTATAAGCAGTGCAAGATTCAAGAACTGGAAGCAGTTCAGAAAAAGGCGGTAAGATTTTTATGTGCCATCGTTACGACCATGATTGCTCACCCTCTTCTATTCTATCTTCATTGCAATTTACTCCACTGTATTGGCATCACCAAATAGAGTCATTAAAATTCTTGCTAAGCATCGTTTTCTCCACAGTTAAACTTTCAAATAATAGGGAATACATAAACTTAGCCCCACAGTCAACGCCGAGGAGCTATCGCAATATAAATTTGAGGCCTTACTACGCTCGAACGTTCAAATTGTTTTTTTCACCGTTCTATTGAATACTAGAATTCATTGCCTGGTTCCCTTCGTTCATGTCCATCGCAGAGTTTTCTTGCCGAAATACATAACTCATACGTGTGAAATACGCTGATCTGTTTGCAAAAGGTATTGCTTTGTTTCTTTTTTCCATGTTCTGATATTTTTGCACTAATGCTCGAACAACATTATTATGTTACTTGTTTGCTTTATTCTTATTGTTTTTTTGTTATATTTCTGTATCTTTGTATACCCACTCCTGCCATAGTGCAATTATCGCTGTAGTATGTGTAAATAAATAAATAAAATAGTGCAACAACAAGAGGATGAAAAAAGAATGGGTCAGTGCCAGTCTTGACGTTTCTTTCTTCGTCGTCGTGTTGTTGCACTGGTTTCAAAATGTATCTCGTGAAGCTTTCTTTTTTCGGAGAAAGTTTTGGTTAAAAAATGTGTTAGGTGGGACTGCAAAGGACAGCTTGGTCACAGTACTGACTGCTAAGTATCATGTTTAGCAGTGACCGTCATTTCCACCGTGGCATGAATGTTTAAGGTAGTATCATCTGGTTCTTTTCAATGTAATATAGAGGCCGATTGCACGCAGCAGTGGATGGTGGTGTGTGTCCTGTCAGAAGCAGCTTGAGAACAAGCTTGATAGCTGTGATAGACTTTGCTAAAACTCTTGTGCAAGTGTCGGAAAGGTGTTATTAATTTTATGAAAAAGTATCAATCTTAGATAATTTCATTGGTCATATTCCAAGAAAAAAAAAAAGCTCTAAAATGGACAAAATGCAGCAGGCTTAAAAAAGAAACTCTATTGTGTTAGAGAGTATAGGAAGCCAAAGCAATGCATGGTGGCGCTGCGACTCTGAACACGCAGCGCCATCTTTGGAAGAAAAGTAAAAACCGGGAATGTATAGCGCGCATTTTTCCTTCCCTCCAATGCGCTGCCGCTTGTTTATGTGCTCGTGCAGAGAGTGCGCGCTGCGTTTTAATCACTTCCCAATGTACTACCTGCAGTGCAGCTTCATAAAAATCTCTCAGCCAGACTAGCACTTCCAAGAAGCGAATCTAACAAAGGGTAAAGCTCAGTAGTCAAGTTTATAATTTTGAACAGATGACAGAAGACTAGGACGCCCGAGTCACTGTGAAATATATTTCTCGAGTCCTCCGTGATAATACCGTGTATGTCGTATGGCTCGAGATAAGTCTCATTCTGCTGACATGAAGCCGCGCAGTATTGATGTGCCGTGTTAACGTTTATGGAAACCATATAATTGTTGTTTTGATGTGGTATGTAGCAGTAGCGGCCGTCTACTGTCATGTGGAAACGTTTGCGGCATGCTTAAAAAAGTAAAAACTAAAGTTATACCGTCATGGCATTAAAATGTCTGAGAAGTTAGTCATGTCCTTGCGGTGGGCGCATGACCCGTTAATGTCACTGCGAAGCAGCAAGCTGAAGTTTAACCACAACAAGTCAAGTTGAAGCGCTCGCCTCGTTTTTTGTTTTCTTTTTTTTCAGCTCTCGTGTTATGCTTGCTCTATTTCTCTCGAACGCGGCTGTGTTCGCCAGCTCTGACTTGCTGGGAAACTCGTACAGCTTTACACGTGGACAGCGTCCCTTGGTGTTGTCTGCATTGCTGTGGCAGCCCACAACACAACAATACTTCTGACCTTACCGACCCTTTCGTGGGGCCGCTTCTTTCATTGCGGATAGGCAACTTCACACAGTGAGCGTCTCGTTTTAGCGTGCCGAGCTGACGGCATGGTGCCCAAGTTCCCGCACCGACTGCAGAACGCATTGCGCGCGTGTCGCATGCGCTCACATTTTGGCGAAACACACGTAGTTGCCTGCGACCTCTCCCGCGTCTCTCCTCAACAGTTTTGAAGCTTATCGCCAGGGTCAGGTGCGGCGTTGTCGTCGCTCCGCAAACTTGAGCTTTGGCTCCCTATTAAGGACAGCAGAACTCATCTCACTCTGACTGTCAGTTAGAGTGATTGGCATGCAGGCAACGTATAGGCAACAACTTAGACATCATTTGGTGCGATATGTATATCCCCTTTAGCCACAACATCTACAGTTGTGCACATAGACTTGTTCACGCTGCCTGTTACTTTAACCAGTATGAAATGCAATGGGCACTTTTCTACACTTTCTCAGTGGACAACTATCGCTTATTCAACTGTATTGGGCTACGTATTGCTGCAGAGGATCACTTTGCTGAAGGCACTACCATATTTGACAAGTTGTTAATTGGGCCACATAGAGGGCATAGCCAAAAATTTTCGGGGGAGGGGGGGGGGAGGGGTTCAGGCACTCTTTTAAAATTAAGGGGGGTGGAATCTTGCAATACTCCCCCTTTCCCCCTCTGGCTACACCACTGTGCCACGTTGTGGGATTTCTTATTCTTTGTTTACTCGGAATGCATATAACTGACACCGGCCACCTTTTTTCACCGCAAATGTTTTTGTTTTTGGTGAAAATAAAGCTCTTTGATTGATTGATTGAAAAAATATTCCATGTATTTCAAGCTTGAAATTGTTTTATCGAAAAATAGAGAATGACTGGCTTAAGAACAGACATCTATTTAAGGGGGACATCAGGCATGAGGATAACATTTCTCAGTAATTCCACTCCTGTGCCAACTGCGGCAAAGTGCGCCAAATCAGATTTACAATACCATCCTGATAATATCAGCAGAAATTGCACTAAACTGTGTCAATTTTTCAGATTTGTAGGCATCTATCACTAGCAGTAAACATGCTGGTGCATCAAAGCATGTGCAGCTTGTTCTCAGGGCCGCCAAAGTAGCAACCTGTACCTGGAATTATTCTGCTAAGTAAACTGCCATCACGCGTGCGTCCCAATAGTCTACGATGGTACGCTCGGTGCCGATGCAGCTTCTGTTGTACAAGGCAGCTCAATGGTAAAATGTGCTCTCTGCAGGAGCTCGTGACATCTAGGCCTATTAGTAGCCTGTAAGTTTGGCGACTATTTATGGGCAGATGTCATCCGTTTCAGAAACATTGCTGATAGCTCATTTAAAGATTTGCATTGTAGATACTCATTGCAATTTTTGCTAATAACTGCACGCATGCCGCTAGAATGTCTGTCATGTCTTTTTTGGGATATCTCTGTCGTTTTTTCAGTGCTTCATGTCCACAGAAGAGCGCCCCGCCGCGGTTGTCTAGTGGCTAAGGTACTCGGCTGCTGACCCGCAGGTCGCGGGTTCAAATCCCGGCTGTGGCGGCTGCATTTCCGATGGAGGCGGAAATGTTGTAGGCTGGTGTGCTCAGATTTGGGTGCACGTTAAAGAACCCCAGGTGGTCGAAATTTCCGGAGCCCTCCACTACGGCGTCTCTCATAATCGTATGGTGGTTTTGGGACGTTAAACCCCACATATCAATCAATGTCCACAGAAGAGCATGTGAACAGTGGGAACGCGTTGACACTTTTCCTTCAGTATACTTTATCCATGAATCTTTATTCAGAAGAGCCTTTTCGTGATTCCTTCCACCAGCACATCTGCGTTTGTAATTGCTCTTGCAATAAAGTCCCCTGAAAGGCCCCACTTTTTCGAGCTCTTGAATGCCAGGGTCCCAGTTCGAATTTTTAATGAGCACTTTTTAAAATGTTATTTCATTAATAAAAGCACGTCTCTTGGTCAGAGCAGTAAAAAGTAGTTTGGCAATTTCTACTCAGCATTCACTGCATTTATACACCGATTCAGTGCTCAGTAGACCGTACATGGTACGCTATTACATGTGTTGGACATTCACACTTTCGGCTCCTTCTATACACCTTTGTGCATCACTTGTTTGTTTCAGCTGCGTCCATGATCTCCCGGCCGACGGGCTCCAATTTCACCACCATTGCAGCGTTGGCTGTCAATGAAGATGTTCCACTTGCAACATTCACCCTGGAGCTGTGTCATGCACTTCGCAGCATAGGTAATGTCTCTTGTTTGGGAATTTTGTGGCATAACTGTCCAACAGTTGTCACTGCATCTAGGGGCACCAGTATTCCAGTTTCAATGTTTGGTTTGTTTAGCATTGATGGACTACCTATGTCTTGCTCTGTTGTACATACTGCTGTTTTTCAGTTATCATTGTATGCATGCAAAAAAAAAAAGAACCAGTCTTTTTCATTTTTTTTTCAATAAAAATTGCTTGGTGTCATTATACAGTGCATAAAATAAAAAGTAGAAATAGAAGGCACTCAGAAAAAACACTTGTCATTAAAAAAAAGTTTTGTACTGAAAAACCTTAATATTACAAACTTGTATTAACGAAATATAGGTTATAATGAAGTAAATAAAGAGTAGTTTTGCAATATAGTGCTAGGAATATACCTTTATAATGAATTTTTGGATATAACAAATTTTTGTGTAAGATGCAACTTTGCTATAATGAGGTTTGGGTGTATTACATTAGAGTTAAAGGCCATTTAGTCCTTTAGCAGGGACCGAACTTACAACCTTGTTGCAGGCTCGGTTCCTGCCCTTGGCAAGTTGTCTCTTTGTTCTTTTTACTTTGTGTACATCTATATCACAAAACTACAATAGACTAAAAACAGTACAATTTTTTTTAATGTTGGCTATAAAGTTGAGGTTGGGTAACTTACAAGAGTTATGAAGGGGGTCTTTATGTCATTTTTTGTTATACAAGCACAACAGTTTGTGACAACAGTCTCCTAAAGTTTCACATACCTTCCTTGTCTTTGTTATTTATTGGTTTTCATTAAGATGGCATCATACAAATAAATGAACTCTCAAAGTTCCCGTCGTTCATTTACTTTGTACACAGTGGTACGGGCAGCCCTTATCACTTGCCTAAAGTTTTCTTCCATAATGTTGAGAGTTCAGCTGAATCAAGAAAAATTATCACAAATGTTCAGCAGTCTACTGAATTTTCATAAATCTTGTGTTTTTTCTATACAGCATGACTTTGTATCTGAAAGTGATGCAGTAAAATTACATTACAACTAGCATAGTTACAAGACACACTCTGTTAAGTTTGGTTGGTTTTCCTATGTTTGCCATGTTAAGATCATCGCATGATAGAAACATGGTTACAAGAAACATTAGGTTATTGAGCATATTTCCAGGTCCCTAGAGTATAAATTGTTCACTATATAGAAGACAAAACCCAGACACAAACCGATATCCGGTGAAATCCTCATAACCTAGGCACGATTTTTTTCTCTTCTGTAGCTGGATGTCATTCCTCGTATTGTTGTGACTACAAATTGCACTGAACTTTTTCTCATTATGCTTTCATGATCGCTATTGCATTCCCACACTGTCTTTATGACAAATTATCATTCAGTTGGATTTCATCCCAGAGGGGCTGTAAGTGTTGAGAAGGTAGGCTGATGAACACTTGAGAGTACTACAAATAGTATGGTGAGCAAGAGGAAAGCTTGTTAAGTCAAATGAAACTCCAGAAGTTGGGGAAAAAGCTAATATAGTCTAACGCTTTTGTAAGAAATAAATGGGTATAAGACACACTAGTGTACCTACAGTAAAATACAGGTTGATCGAAAAATGCATACAAGGTACCCTGCTTATAAGAAACATTTCATATAAAAAAAACGAGAATTGCTGCCCGGAACATGCCTCCTAAAAAGGAGTTCAACTGTACGTTCTGCGGTGACTAAAAACAAGCTACCATGAAATATTTTTTTAAAGAGCCAGTAAAAAACCCCGAGGTCCAAAAATTGTTATAAAGCAAAATGTGTGCACTTTTGCTTTTTCAACATGTTGCCACAAAAATTTTGTGAACACGTACTGTATTAAGGAAGTTACAGGGGTTTAGAACACCAGTTTCAGCTAGTTTTCAATTTTCGCATTGCCTCGCCGCCCTTCTCCCTCACAGGGAAAGGAAGGCGTAGCCCGACGTCGTGACTGGTTCAGACCAATCAATGAAATGTGTGCTACATCAAGTCGCCGTTCGGCGATTAGTAACTTTGCTCCACTGCGTGTGAAAGGAGGATTAATTGGGCGTAAAAAAGGATCGTGGGAATCGTTTTTCGAAATTGAGGCTCAGCGCAGCGCTTTAATATTTGGAAAACATGATCACCGCGGTCTACTCCACGAATTGCCAAGATTTTTTAGAGGGGTTTTAAAAAAATGTCTGAGCCTGTTGACTGGCCCTTTGAAGGGGATTCCGGGCGATTTTTTTATGTTCACTGATTTCGATGAAACTATCAGAACATGTTCTCTTTGGCATCCTGATAATATGTGTGCAATTATACAGTCATAAGTGATTTAGCTTTTTAAAACCGAATCTTAAAATTGGTAGCCCGTTCTGGAATCACGTTTGTACAGTCGAATCTCATTAATTCGAACTCACGATGAGGTCCCGTCAAAGCTACGTGTTTTTCAATAAGGGAAAACGCCTGGTAATTTGAACGCCCAAGCACTTCTGACGGTTAATTCGAACATATTGTGCTCCGAAAATTCTCTCAGCACCCCGCCTGAACCCGCGGCGGTACCTGCGACACCTCAACACTGAGCGCGAAGGAACTGAAAAGGAAAGAAAAGGCTGCGGTGGAATGTTTGCTCTCTCTCAAATGCCGATCTGCAACGCGTCCGTGTCACACTCTCTTTTTTCCATCCCTGCCACGTAAAGACCCTTTTCCTTCCAACGCCGTGCGCGAAGGGAGAGAGAGAGAAAAAAAAAAGGAAAGTTGTCACTGGGTTGAACAAATGTATGGTTGAAGGAAAGAAAAAAGGCACTATCCTTGAAGGGGGAGGGGGGTCCCTCACGCGCCGGTGCCACTTTCCCCCTTTCCTGTCCCTGCCAGGTACCCTTGTCCTTTCAACGACGCGTGTGAAAAAAAACAAAAAAAAACTGCTGTGGAGTGTTGGTTTTTTCTCAAATGCGGATCTGCTTCTCTCCGCGTGGAGAAGCTCCTCCTTTCTCGTCGCGTGGGTAGCGGAGAGCGGGAGGCTCCGCTACGCAGTCGTCGTTGCCATCGTCTTTAGAAAGTGTCAGTGCCGGACATTTCCGCGCGCAACATCTCTTACCAGCAGAATGCTGAAGCCGAAGTAGAAATGCTTTGCAAGCTGCGTGCGAAATTGATTGACTCCCTGCAAGGCAAACGTGCGCAGATGCGCATCACCAATTACTTCAATTAATAGTGGATGTCCTGTGATTTGTGAATAAATGTGTCTTCTAAAACTTCCCCCTCATGTGTTAGCTCAATGCACATGCACCACTGCATGAAGAGCCCTCCGTTTATTTAGCTTTCATTAATTCGAACTTCTTTTAATTCGAACAAATTATCGGGCCCCTTCGAGTTTGAATTATCGAGATTCGACTGTATATGCAGGCCACCCTGTGTATGTAATGTACAGTGCCATCCACTGTTAGGGTAAACACAGCTCAGCATGGCTGCGCTCTGCACAGCACCAGTGTGCAGGCGCAGCTGCACATTGAAGAGTAGCGGGGCCTGGACACGGACCCAGGAAAATGCTTTACATCATCTGCTACATCGCTTGAGTGCATCATTTCATAGTAGCCAAGTGCCAGTCTCGCTTCTCTGTAGTACAGCAAGATTGACACCATCGTGTGCCACTTGCGTAGTTTTGATTGGATGCACAGCCACGCCGGCTGCATTTGCGCTTCACAGAGCACTGCCACTCTGAGCCGTGTTCACCCTAATAATGGATGCCACTGTACGTGTCTAATTTTTCTACCCCACCTCGCCCAGCAGATAGATGCCGCGCACTATTTCCTCATCAAGGCAACGACGACGCGAGCATAGTTTGGTTCTGTCAGCTGCATAGTGTGTTAGTCGACGTTGACATCAAATCTTGCAGTAAAATTGAGCAATGAGGAAATCGATACGGATCAAGTCAGCTGCTTCTGTGTTTACATAGGTGATGCTTCCACATTCACATAGTAGCTGAAATCATCAATGAACTCATCACTGGTAAGTTTAGACAGGCTGGCCCAGCTTGACTCCAAATCAGATGAACTTTCCAGCTTGCTTTTCGTGCGATAGAAGAAGCATTCAGGCTATGTTTACACCCTGGCCAGTTGTAGTGGCATGTAGCCGTGGTTTCGTGATGTCATCATATACCCACATGCAGCAGCTCCCTGTTTCAGTTGCGATTTTGACTTATCGTTGATTGCTTATATAAAATTATTGACGAGTCTCTCAGAAAAATGAACCACCACGTTTTATACGGGACTGTTATTACTGTTTGAAAACTACATTATTTCAATATAGTCGAAAATGCACTGGAGTAGGCAATCCGTAGGCAATTCATAGCGATTTCCTGTGTTTGAACACTTTGATGCTGATGTATATAATAAAATAATCTAGACCAATTTCCAAGTTGTTTTTAGGATTACTGGTTAGCCCCGCCTCGGGGGTCTAGTGGCTAAGGTAGGCTGCTGACCTGCAGGTCACTAGATCGAATCCCGGCTGTGGCGGCTACATTTTCGATAGAGGCAAAAATGCTGTAGGCCCGTGTGCTCATACTTGGATTCAGGTTAAAGAACGTCAGGTGGTCGAAATTTCCGTAGCCCTCTACTACAGAGTCTCTCATAATCATATACAGTCGAGCCCGCTTATAACGAACCTGAGCCTGATGCGGCATCCATTCGCGGTATCCCGAAGTTCATAGTAAATGAAACGCAGCTTTTAAAAAAGTTGAGAGTGAAAACACAAAATTTTTTTCCCCAAAAGAAAGGTTCGTGACAAACGTGTTTCGAAAAGCAGAAGCGATAAGGGCAGTCTCGGGTTTATTTCAAACGGCAGCGTGCTCATCGCCGAGGCCCGTGGCATAAGCTGCATGAGGCACTGGCTCCAAAGTTTCATCGTTCTCGCAATTCGATTCCTTCAAATCGCTCTTGCCGCGTGCTTCATTCACAATGTCCTAATCTGTGCACAATTCCGTGGTGTTGACATCATCATCGGCCGTAATGAAACAATCGCA